TTTTTTTTTGCATGCTAGTCTCCATATCGACAATGAAGAGGTTACTAAAATTATGAAAATTCTTGTACAACAGAATAAAAATTCGAAAGTGATGTATTGTATTTGTATTGTATTTTCGAATGAAAACTGTACTAGTTAAATGAAACTTGTACGATCTGCTATCATCCGAGAAAAATTTTTGAGCTTGTCCCTTTGAATAATTTTGGACAAAAACTGTGTACTAACGATCAAATTATTATACGATTACTTTGAAAGTGATATTGTTTGTATGATTTCCTGATTGTGTGTACTAGGCTTTATCCTCTCTATTTGTTCTGGTGAACGCTATCAGTCAGGGGACAGTCATTCTGGTGACCTTGGTGCGAGATTTCTCTTGACAGGGGTCAACACCTTCTCTCATTCTATCCAAAGTTTTTAAAAGTTTTGAATTCAGTTCTACTTTAACCCCTTGACACCGACATCACACAAATATGCGGCCTCACAGAACTGGGCTTTTTTCCGTGGGGCTGCATATTTGCGTACCTGTCTTTGTGCTGGGAGCGCACCGCACTGCTTGCTCCCAGCACAGAGACCACGGTGTCACTGAGAGCCCCAGGTCCCATTCTAACGATCGGGATCTGGGACTCCCGATTCCGGGTCACATGATCGCTGTGATAGCCTCTGATTGGCTATCACAGTGATCAGTCACTGTGCAGCTCGGCACCCTTGTTTTTTTTCTCTCTCTCTATGAATGGAGAAGAGAGATACATTGTATCTCTCAAACTCCTGGCATAGAGAGAAAAAAAAAAAGTTTGTAAAAAAAAAAAAAGATACATAAATAATTATAAAAAAAAAAAAGAAAGAAAAAATACCTAGATCAAGGTTTGATCTAGTTCAGTGCCAGGGTTATTGTTTGGGTCAAGGTCAGGATTTAAAAAAAAATTGGAATCAATGTCAGTTAGTGTCAATGTCAGTGTGTTTTAGGTAAAGAAAAAAAAAAGACAAAAAAAAAAATGCGCACTATTGTTTCTGGGCGGTACAATGGGTACAAACAACAAATAACATACACATACTGTATATGGTATCGCTGCGATCATCAAGAGCTGGAGAATTTATTTTGGGTTTTTCTTTGGTGGTAGGTTATGGTAGTAACAAGAAACACACAGCTAAAAAAAAATCTGGAGATATCCATTACCATTTACCACCAAATGAAAGCCCAATTTGTCCTGAAAAAAAAACAAAGTATAATTCACCTGGATGTACAAAGGCGTGAAGGGGTTAACATACGCCAGGAAAGGTTTCTTTTAAAGGCAAAGATGTGTTCTTCTAAGTCAACATCACTAAATTCATTTTTCTTTTGTCATATTATATATACTTCTATGTTGTACAGGGTACATTAGGACTGCACAAAGCTAATAAGGGTAAGAGGAGGGGGGTATAATGGGTGGTTCAGTGAGAGGGAAAGTCTCTTAAAGGGTGCTTCTGCTGGCTATCGTTGGGGCTCTTAAGGTGACATTGGTGCAGTCTTGATAAACCAGCAAACAATTTAGAATGATAGGAAAAATGCAGCAAGTATGGCACAGAAAGGGTGTCCAAGAACAGGAGGAAGGTATAATTGCAAAAAGAGTAAACCATGGATGCGATGTGGTATGCTTAGTGTTCTGCCTTAAAACTGAGATCCCAATAACGGTTTGCAGCGAGTACTGAGTCCTCTCACTGATCGCTGCGTTATAGACTATGGCCCACTGTGCAGTCGGGTGCCACACTCTCTCTCTCTGTTGTGTCTCCAAACCCATGAAGTGGGAAGCCTCTCTGATCTCCCCATGGAAAAGGCACAGCTTATCTGCTATGTCCTGTATCATGCTGTCAGGAATGGACTGGCCAGCAATGGTGGGACTCACCTGCCTTTTGATCTGCAGTACCAGGGCTGGCCAGCGGGTGCTCCCAGCAATCAGAGACTCAACCTTTCAGCCAGCTAACACCTGGAACTGATGATACTGGTGTATTTAAGGGATGGCCAGACTTGCAGACTCTGCCTTGGTGTTGTGTTTGTCCTGGGCCCTGTATCTGTCCTGCATCCTGTATCCTGTTCCTGCTCTCTGTTCCTGTCTGATTCTCTGCTGACCCTGTTCTGATCCCTGGCTTGTGACCCTGACCATCCCTCTGCCTGACCCTCTGTACCACGCTGCTTGCTACCTGTTCTGATCCCTGGCTTGTGACCCTGACCATCCCTCTGCCTGACCCTCTGTACTACGCTGCTTGCTACCTGCTGAACCTGGCCTGTGACCCCGACCATTCTCCGCTTGCTCCCCCTGTACCTACCTGCCCTATTGATATTGACCCGGCCTGCCTGACGACGCTTGCTTGTTTGTACTGTTATCTGTGGGTGGTTGGTTTGGTTTGTTTGCACTGTATTATGTTTTAGTATTGCACTGCGTTTATGGTTGTATTGTTAGTGTTAATAAATTACATTGTTTATCACATATCTGAAGTCTGCGTTTCCCTGCGTCAGTCACACATCTCTGGTCACACCTGGGAGCCCTGACACATGCAGACAAGACTTTGCTTTTCCTCTGCTTCAGTTAGACTCTCCAGGCTCGGTCTCACAGCAATCTGACTCCATTAATAAGTCTGCAGTCTCCTGAGTCCATGGTGCCAAGAGAAGTTTCCTGGGCAGTTCAGTAAAATCCTTTTTGCTCCTCCCCCTTGTCCCTCAGTGTCTCTTTGGAACTGTAGTGAGATAGGGCTCGCTAATCCATTGTATAGCTGCCTATTCAAACTACAAATCCCATGATTCACAGTTCTCTGCATAGAAGTTAATGGGCTGGCTTGGTTTCAATCTCCCCATGTTGGTTGAAGGAGATAGAGCAGCATAATATTCAGCATTGTAGTAAGAGTACAACATCATAGAACACTGCTTCATTTTCCATGCTGCTCTAGTCCAGCATCAGACTACATATGGATTTATACTTGGGTAAATATAGTAGAAGTATAACAGAAGGCTAGCATGGTGGCAGAGAGATCCTAATAATCACTGATGGTGGTTGTTAATTATCTTGGTACTTGCGATGATTTTTTTTTTTTTGAGAAGAGTCAGCTAAAATAACTTATGCAGCCTGTTTATCTTTCAAAATGACCAAAAAGTGTTACTAGAGATCACAGACTGTAAACAGGTTACATAGCACTGATTCTGTAATGATATATTACAGTAATGTTTTGAATGTCAGTACTGCGCCTGGTTCATGTATGGGCGGCTGTTCTTTTCTCTCAACAAAAAAATACTATGGAGGCCTGATTTATTTTAACAAATGTCAGTATCTTAAGACCTCATTCACACAGGACGCACTATACCATATACCCGTGCAGGGCCGTTCTGTGCATCCCCTTGCAGGCTGTCCCATTGGTTGCAATTAGAGCACAGTGGCTGTGCAAACACAGCCGATGTTTACCAATATCATGCAGGTGCATGTCCCCAAATGCATACAGGGTACATTCAGTGACGTTCAGTGACAAGCACCCGCACCCACAAGTACTTGCTCAGTTTGCCATTCCTCTAATTCAGAGGTGTCAAACTGGCGGCCCTCCAGCTGTTGCCAAACCACAAATCCCATCATGCCTCTGTCTTTGGAAGTCATGTTTGTAACTGTCAATCTTGCATTTTCTCATGGGACTTGTAGTTTGGCAACAGCTGGAGGGCCACCAGTTTGACACCCATGCTCTAATTCACGGGGTTATAGATCAAAGTGTATGTAAACCAAAACAATAAACCTTTCGTATTCGCATCCTTTTGGTTTGTTAAATATACTATTGAAAGCATTTGTTTTATCTATATGACAAGTGCAAACATTACATATTGATCCTAGCACACTTCCTGCCCTGGGGTGACCCCGCTTTTACTCATAGATACAGTATGGTAAGTGAGCACTGTAATGCTAGGGAAAGAAGTGTGTTACAGGCTGGATCACCAGGTACAGTAGTAATAATCATAAAAAACAAAAAAGAAAACAAATGCAGCCATCACATCTAAGGATATGTAAGCTGCAGTGTTTTAAAAAAAAAAAGGTCTGGTGTTCTTAGATTTAACTTTTAAGCCCAACTAAGGGAAGCTTTAAAACATTATCCCTTGCAGTGTGGCTGTTGGCAAGTGTAGTTCTTATCCACCCAGGAGTCGGCACCTTGCCACTCCGGGATGGAGTGGAGACCTACACAGGAAGAGCAGCTATCCAATTAGACACTGCACTTCCAGTAATCTTTGATGACCATCTTGGTTTAAGGCAGTGCTGATAAATAGCAGTACCCAACTGGGTTTGAAGTGCATTTTGTGTGGATAGTGTAGTCAGAGGAACCCTCTCTGGCTGGGACAGAGTACTAAAGCAAGGGAAAGATACCAGGGCAAGTAAGACCAGTGTAGGAGGGCGGATACCTCTGGGTCCTGTAGTCAGCACTGATCTCCTGTACTTGATCAGCCACTGTGTCTGCCCCCTTCCAGCTTGTTGCCTCTCCAGCTGATGCAGCCACTGTAAGACACTCACTCAGTACTGTGTCCACTATTCCTGAGGACATTAAACTGCATAACTGCACTAGTCGCAACCAGCTGGCCAGTCTTACTGCTCTGACACTTCTGTGTCTAAGGGCACTGATCGCATTTGGTTGGGACCCACTCTGGACTTAAGTGGAGCTACCACCCTACTGGTTACTGCAAGTTACTGAGCCTGTTGTTGAGTATTACGGAACCTGTTACTGCAAGTTACTGAGCCTATTGTTAAGTATCACTGAGCCTGTTACTAAATGCTATTGAACCTGCCACCAAAAAGAGATACTGCATCTGTGTGAGACACAGCTGCTTATGCTAATTGTTTTTCTCCATAAGTGTAAATATTAATGGTGGAATTGCATTCAACTAATACAATATTGTGAACCTCCCTTGACTCTGTGCTGCTTCTTAGTTCTGGGTACCATACCACTGGCCCCACCCAAAGGGCTGCAAGGGTTAATTGCTTATTTAGTCTTGGGGAAAGGAGAAGCGCTTTGATAGTGGACTCTGCCTCAGCGTCCTTATGATCAATGCAGAGTTATTGACCCAAGGACCAGTCTAGCAGCACAGAGGATCAGGTAAGTACCAGGGGCAGACTGACAACTCATGGGGCCCCGGGCAATAGGGGATCATGGGGCCCCTGTGTCCTTGCCCAAACAAAAAAGCCTATGAAAAAAGTACCAGGGGCATCTCATGGGGCCCCCTACTGACCCCGGGCCCTCGGGGCAGTGCCGAGTTTCCAAATGGTCAGTCCGCCCCTAGTAAGTACCTTTTCTTTAACAAATCCCCTAAACAAGCAATTGACCCTTGCAGTGTGAGCGCAGCTCCACTACAAGGGATTGTGTTCAAGTTTTCCGGAGTTACCTTAAATTACCTGGAAGCAGGGGGCATTCCAGATTAGTCCAGACAGTCATGTAAGCATCTTTCTCTCCCTAGACGAAAAATTTTTTTGCTGTGGTCATAGAGTGTTAATCACCACCTAGGCATGCAGTCAGTCAACCAGTTCAGTATTTGTGCTGTGCTGGACAGTCAAACAGTCTTGGCAGAATCAGATAGTTAATCACATACAAGTCATGTCAAATTTAAAAATGGCTACATAACTCTCTGGTACTTTCACTGTCCAAAGTGACAAACAGTGTAAGCAGGTAATGAGTGCTCCCTTGCAGAGCTGCCACCAGCAAGCATCAAAAGTCAGTTTCTTTTGCAGAATTGACAATATGCAGTATAACTTGAATTTTATTTTAGATTTTTACTTTACTAAAGTTTTGGAACCTTCCAATTCAGAGGTAAGGTGGTGGGGGGGGTGGCTATAAAAGACCACTTTAATGTCGCAGTTTAAGTTGTAATGCTCGCCATTGAAAAGAAAGGCCTAGTAGTTGTTTAAAAGCTGGCCTAGTAGCAAAAAAATTAATAAATACAAACAAGAATTATATTAGCAATAATAACCATCACAATAGTGAAGGGATTACCAAATTGTGCTCCTGCGCACAATTGCTCTATACTCCTAATACTAACTCTAGCTCTTGTTTTTCAGAACTACAAACCATTTTTTACAGCCTCAGGAAGACTTTGTTGGGCATAGTAGATTCATTTCAGATGGCTAGCCAGGTCAGTTGCGGAAGCACTGAAAGCAAAAAATCTGCTCCCGCATGGGCAGGAGTGTTGTTGCTGTTTGCTCAGAGAAAGTAAGGGAGATTAGTGACTAGTAACAATCCTGATAACTCCTCTTGTGCATCTAATGTCAGCTCTTCCAGATTGGAGACTTCAGAAGGGGTCAGGATCAGCTCCAATAGCAGCTTTTTTAACCTTTAAGGATACAGTACTCGATCTGTGGTATTTTTACATGTACACAGATTTTCAATGTGTCATTTGCTTCAATGGCCTCCCTAATTAGGCCTTCCTCCTACCTCTAGGCCCCAATGCACTGGCATTGGCTACTATGGCTATAGCAATGCCACTGGATGCTGCTGTGGTTCTATATCCCCTAAAAAAAACTTCTTTATGGTAAGCTTTCCTGGCTAATTGTTACCACTAATGCAACCCTAACACTACTTAAATAATTGAAGCACAACTCTAGGCTCACCTCCAACCCATTTGCCTTTCCCTCATTAAAGCAACCTCAGTTTGGTGAGGTCACAAGTCCTCCTCACCCTCTTTTTCCCCTGGCAATGGGTAGATCCTAAATGATGTGGTGCTACTCTCTGCATCTTTGCCTGTGAGTCCAAGGTAGAGAGTCCTTGATGCCCTGAGTTTACAGGAAGTGGTTTGGGATTAGAACCCCTGTCATGTTTTTTTTTCATGCCTCTGTCCCCATCACTGAAATTTACCCTCTCTATTCATCCTGGTGTATGGTATAACTGAGAGTGAACATGAAAAAAAAAAAAAAAAAAATCACAAAATTTGAGTTGTCGTCAGAACAGGAATAGAGGGGAAATCTTCCAATGGGAACATTAGTTCCGGTGACTACAAAAAAAAAATGGTTTATAAACCTTGCTTATTCCATACAAAATGAAAACAAGTTTTCCGTTATACTGTGAAGGAAATAAGTATTTGATCCCCTGCTGATTTTGAATGTTTGCTCATTCACAAAGAAATGATCGGTCTAAAATTTCCTTCACTGTAGTTTAAAGTCAGACTAAATTCAGCTTAAAAAAAGAAATTCCAATTCAAGTGTAGCACCTTCTTAGTTAGGTTGCTAAGTAAATGAAAATGTAGTTTTTGGGTGGTAGTTAACCCAGTTTGATTTGTGTAGATGTGCATTTGGTTTCTCCTTAGGTTCAGTAAGCTTTTGATCTCTCACTGTTACCAGTAGGGGTCATTACTCTACTGGCCATAATATGTGCGTTAATGTTTGGCTGAGTTATGAATATTCATTTTTCTTTTGGTCATCCCAGTAGGAGGTTCAAGCCACTGGGGCCTGATGGAGAAGAGTATACATATTTGGGGAAACCATGTGCTAGCTCTATTGCCTCAGACTGAGGCCTGAGAGATTGCTAATGGACTGTTGTGCTGCTAGGCACAAGAGCCTCATTGGGGTCTAGCGTAACTTTTGGAGCAAAAGTCTACACACTGTTCACCAGGCTCCTGTCAGTGGCAGAGCCTAGGAGCCAAACCTGCAACTACAGAAACACCTCTGGCACTTCACCTTTGAGGATCCAGTCTACTACCACTTCACTAGAAGGCATCTGGAAGCTCAGTCTGGATGCCTATCCCTTGGTCTCGTGAGTAAAAGACTGCTTGCTGATCTGGGTGTCATATGGTGCTGCAAGCAGATAAGAGGCATTGTAGTTTTATGGGGGTACCATTTGTGCCAAGACCCCTAATCTGGCCCTTCCATTCTACTCTCAGTGGTCAAGGAATGCTATTGTGAGAACAGTGAAGTTGGTTTCCACTTCATTAAAACCTTTGGTTATCAGGGTATCCCATGCCCAACACCCCTCTTCTGTTACAAGTTTTTTCAGCATTAAAATTTGAAAAGACAACCCCTAAACTTATTTCTTTGTCAGTGTGCCTGAACTGTGTTCTATGTGTGTTGGCAGCCTCTGCATTAGTGAGGGGGAACTCTGGTCACCATCATTATTTGTGCTGGAAGTGTATAGTGACTGTGCATTGACCATCAGCCAGTGGCCCTCCAGGGAGTAGCAGTACACAAGTATGTATTCATACATCACAGAAACATCTTCTATTGATCTCAGCTTCCTCCAGGTCTCTAAATTCCTCTTTTTTGCTGTTGTGAAATTACTTCTTGTTAGAGGGTGGCTACGTTAATTTTCCTTGGTTCCACTGTATGTAAGAATATGAACGCCCTCTCTTGTTTGCTCCCAAAATGGGCTATGGGACATGTATTGTACATAGAGTAATGCATGTGACCACAACTAAAGTCGGAACAAATGGAAGTGAGGGAGGTAAAAGTAGAGGTGTGGGAACTCACAGGGGATGTTACAAGCAGGCAGAAAAACATGAGAAATTAGTTCTTGAAAAATAGATACAGGGACATTAAGTAATGAAACTGTATGGGTTATTTTTTGAGAATACAAATATAATTTAGAGTCACTTTATGCTGGACATGGGCTGTAAAAAACAAATTAATGATTAAATACACACTCACACTTACTGTAGATGTGTGTCAGGGATCGCCGCGACGCTGCTCCCCGGCGCAGGCGCAGTGCGCCATCTCATGCAGGGATGCGGGCACTAGGTCCCGGCCAGCCGCGGCGACGGAGTCTGCGCATGCGCACTGGCATTTGCGGGTGCGTGCTGGGCACCATTGACAGCGCAGGGTGCGGTATTTAAATCCCCCCTGTGCTGTCACTGGTTGCCGAATAGTCTTTTCCGGTTACCCGTGTTCCTAAATCTGTTAGTATTTCTGATCCGGATTGCCTGACGTTGCTGATTTCTCCTGTCCTGACCCCTGGCTTGCCTGACCTCGCTCCTGAATGCCCCTTTATAGATCTGACCTCCTGTTACTGACCTGGCGTGTGACCCGACCATTCTCTGCCTGCTGCTTTGTACCGCAACGACCCCCCGGCTACCGACTCGGCTTGTCTGACTGTGCACTTGCTCATCCATCCATCCGCCCATCCCACCGGGATCTCCCGGCCTCCTCACATCAGGCTTTCACCCTGCGGGAGCCTCTGGCGGACTCCTCTACCACTGGTGGGTGTACCCGGTAGTCGCGACCTGGTCTCGGTACACTCCAAGTCCATCCCCACCATCAGGGGTCCTGGTGAATAAGTGATTCGGGACTTAGACTCCGCGCTCTGGGGAAACCTGACCAGTGGGTTGCTAGAGGTGGTCCCTTACAATGTGCAAGAAAAACAGCCGTAAATGTTCTTGGATCTTCAAGGGATAGTTTTCCTCTGCTGTCCGATTACCTTCCAAAAGTGCACAGTGCAAGAATCTGTGAACCCCAACCCATATTAATCCAGCATGCTTTTTGTATAGAAAAATGGGCAAACTGTAAATGGAGAAGATTTGAAGAGGTCTGCTTATTTCTACTGAATAACAGCCATTTATTGTTCTGTCTCTGAACACAGACAGCAGATGAGCTGAAAATGAAAAATTCCCCGAGAGGTGAATAGGTTTGCTCACATTTTGTTATTTTTAGCATGGTCACATTCCATTATTAAAACACATGGCTCTGGTAAGGAAGTTACAACTTCCACATAGTTTGTGAGTTACAGAATTGCAACTCATGCAGATACAATGCAGCCATACACAAAAACGCCCACAGCTTTTCTGGGAGCTAACGTATATCAACTTGACTAGTAATAGGTAGGATTCATGGCCACAGTGTTGCAGAATAAAATGTAGTCAGATTTTAATGACATAAAAATAATTAAACATCAATTTTCTTATTTTGAATGCATAATATATGTTTCTAATTCAGTCTCTGGTTATCTCTTGCCACGACTACTGCAACTCCCTCATTGGCTTACCTTTACATAGATTATCCCCCTTCAGTCTGTAGAACTACCTCCTTGAGGGCCTCTGAATATTGTTTTTGGGTTCCCTTTCTTTCCTGAGCCCGCCTTGGAAGCCCAACCCTTGCTGACACCACCTTAGACCTTTGACCAGGAAAACCCCCCTGGGTGCTACCTTAAAATAGACTCACACACAGTTTAGAGTGAATTGATATTTTGACTATATTGAGGTCAGAATGCAAACACAATAAATGACAAGAAAATATGTGGAAAGGATAACAGCTAACACTTTTAGAAGACTCTAGTAAGAGTTGCAACACAGCACAATTTCAGTCAGTTTTTTTAGATGTCCTGCAAATCAGAATTTAAACAGTAGTTCTGAGATGTTTCTTGTCAAGTGAGCTGAAGGGAAATTATCAAATTGGCAGACAAACTTATGTTTGGGCTCTCAGTTACTGGTGGCTGGGGTTAACTCTAAATTGGAAAAGAGCTCTTTAATTAGATATATCCATGTCCCTTTAACACTGAAGTGTCCAATCTTCTGCGCGCTCGATGGGACCCTAGTTGGTGCACATAAATGTTTGAATTTTTCTTGGTGTAAAAGGCAAGGTTTCCTTAAAAGGGGGTGAACACAAATGAAAGGAAATGTCTCCTGTAAGATGTTGTATTTGAATGATATTTCTTTAACACACAGAGTGAAATCTGGGATTAGGCTAATATAAAGGAAAGGGTGACAACAAACTTTTGCAGGGATTAATTAGGCTCCGTGTACACTAGCATTTTTTTAAGCTAAATAAATGCTGGATAAAAAACATTGGTAACAGCTTTTTTAGTAGTGTTTAGGAGCGTTAGCATTTTATTAGCGGTTTTACAGTACATGTAGAGGAAAAAGTGGCGTTTAGGAATGTTTAACGTTTTTTTCTGCTGGAAAAACACTCCAAAAACTCTAAAGAGACTATTTTTTTTTTCTGCTTCTAGACTTTGAAGCTCAAAAAACGCTAATAGCCTAAAGTAGTGTGCATGGACACAGTGGATAACACTATTTAGCTTCTAAAAGCAGAAAAAGTGCTAATAACAGCTGCCCGGAGCTTAAAAAGATGGTAGTATGCATGGAGCCTAAAAGGTGTCAAGCTAGAGTAATGAAGAAATTCCTTAATGAGTGGCACAGAGTGGAACTAAAGCACTAATGTAGCTTGATCTGCAGGGTGCATATATTGCAGTAGAATCCTATGATTCAATGTGTTGAGAGTGTATTAATCAATAGGCCCCAAGGCAGGATGGCCCAGTCAGTCTAGGAATTGGCACGCTAACTTGTGAAACAAAGGATGCTGAACTTAGAAGAAAGTAACTGAACTTGGCAATGTCACTTGCAACTTATATGATTTGAGTATGGAGCTCTCTCACCCAATCTGGGACCTCAGTAGGTAGAGGATAGTTTATCTGCAGGGGGGCCCTGTGTTCCCTTGATTCCTCCATCAAAGAGCACTGCATAATGTCAGCACTTTTGTCTGTGTGGATGTACGATTGTCAGCCCGGCATGTCAACGGTGGCAATTTCTCCTCACTCCACTCTCTGCGGTCTGTCCTAGCCCAGACCTCAAGTGTCCTGCACAGCCTTCTCCTCACACCTGCTCTTTGGCTCTCACCGTCCACTTTCTGTTCTCGTGTTCCCGGACTTCTGTATTTATTTACCTCCACCCACTAGCTTGCTCTTTGTTAGCATGTTAACAGGGAAGTCCTGCAATCAACCTACAAGTCCAACAAAGCTTTTCTTCAACAGAGTCTGTATAACTGAACTAAAGAACACTGCCATCTTGTGTTCATTTAACATCCTGCAGCTAGTATTACTGCAGGGTGTTACAATTCCATAATGAATGCTGCTGCCAGGCTTATCCACCTTACAAACCACTCAGCATCTGCTACCCCTCTCTGCCAATCGCTCCACTGGCTTTTGCTCACCCAACAAATTAAATTCAAATTACTAACAACAATGTACAAAGCCATCCACAACTCTGCTCCCAGTTACATCACTAACCTAGTCTTAAAATACCAACCAAATTGTTCTCTTTGTTGCTCCCATGACCTCCTGCTCTCTAGCTCCCTTGTCACCACCACCCCCATGCTTGCTTCCAAGACTTCTTCTGAGCCTCCCCTAGCCTATGGAACTCCCGACTCCAATCTTACTATCTTCTACTGTGTCAACTTTTAAGCAATCCCTGAAAACCCTTTTCTTTAGTATAGCCTATCCTGCTGCCTATCCTGCCTCAATCTAACAACTGTGCTTTTGTTTTTTTCCATCAACTCATCCCCATAATTTTTACCTTTTGTATCACTTGACCCTCCCTTTTAGATTGCAAAGCTCTAATGTACAGGGTCTTCTGATTCCTCCAGTATTAAATTGTATCGTAACTATACTGTTTGGCCTCATGTTGTAAAGCGCTGCTCAATCTCTTGGTGCTATATAAATCGTGAATAATTATAATAATAATAATAATGCCCTAGCAGTAAAAAATAAAGTTTATACTCACACAAGTATAAAGTCTGGATAGGGCTAGGTGACACTGTTGGGAGGGAGCAGGGCTAGGTTACTCTGCGGCAGACTTGGAGGCTCTGTAGGGGACATGGTTTCTGGAGGGGGCTGGAGGACATTATTGGAAGTTAAGGGGCACAGAGGGATACTGTTGGAGGTTGGAGGCACTATGGAGAGCTGGAGGCTATGCAGCAGACTGGGGGGCACTGTGGCACGTTGGGGGGGCAATGTGGAAGCTGGGGGGGGTTGTCTCAGGGAGTCTGGGAGCATCGTTGGCCACTATGGGAGCTTGGGGCAGTAGGGTAGCTGAGAGGCATTGTGGGCAGTTAAGGGATTTGCAGCTGGTTGGAGGCCCAGGAGAAGGGCAGCCACAGCCCAGCACTGGGTAAAAACCCAGTATTTGAGTTCTGTTCTACTGCATAGGAATTCAGCCCCATTCACACCTGTGCAGTTAAAAAAATGCTCAACATTAAAAATCCCCATGTTGTAAATGGTACGTGTTCACACCTGGGTGCTGTTTGAAAAAGTACAAGAACGTCTTTTCAGACAGATTTGGGCGTTTTGGCCCCATAGACACATTTTTTTTTTATCACTCCTAAAATAAAGGTCTATGGGGTTCACAATCCTTCCTTAAAGAAGCTTTTGTGTGTCATATCATTCCTAAAACACACAGAACAAAAGTCTGTAAAATCACCTGAATGTATGACACCCAACTGTGAATGTAGCCTTAGGTTATAAACAACCAGGTCCTCTTCTGTTTACATAATACAGTATTAGTGTGTAGCTAGCAAACATCAATTAATGTTATAAGTGATATTTACTATTGCATCACACTGTTTTCTTGTTTTGATATATTTTATCCTTTTCACTATTATATCTTATTTCAAGTAGAATTTATTTATTTCTGATACCCTTATTTTTGTTGTGCAGTTAATATTGCTCACAATGCCTCTTTTTTTTTCAGTTTCATTTCCACTTAGAGGTCTTCTCCTCACCCCAACCCTGTGCATGGACAGTGAAAAGAGAAGCAGCACACTGATGAACTCGTCTCTCCTCTAGTCTCACCCAGGGGTGGACTGACAACTCATGGGGCCCCCCGGGCAATAGGGGATCATGGTGCCCCTGTGTCCTTGCCCAAACTCAAAAAAGTCTATGAAAAAGGTACCAGGGGCATCTCATGGGGCCCCCTACTGACCCCAGGCCCTCGGGCAGTGCCCGAGTTTCCAAATGATCAGTCCGCCCCTGGTCTCGCCCCTAGCACAGCAACACACCTGATTGGCTCTTGGTCCAGCTTCTCCCTCACTGAACCCTGCTGTACAAATTGAAAGAAAGAGGCCTTCATCCAGCAGATCGGTTACACTCAACTATTGCTTCTCAGAAAGAAAACAAAAAAGCTTTCATGTGCTTAGACTTTTCATTCAGACATATGCCTTACAAGGAAATCATTTCAGGGTTTTACCATTATCATTTTGACTGACAGACACAGGCAAATTCAATCATGATAGAGAGATTCCAGAGACTCATAATTCACTTTATTAAAGCCAGATCAGCACAGCCCTGCTGCTTGCTTTAGGAATTCACTTCTTGGAGGGGGCTGTTTTATGTACTGTCACCCGTTGAAACCAGTAGAATCTGCAATGTTGGGGACCAAGTGGTTGGGGACCAAGGGACGCAGAAAATGATGAGAAAACATGGATTTAAAATATTCTCCTTAGAATACAACACTTAAAGCAGGTGTGTTGGAACAGCCACTTGTAGTCTTCATCGAAAACCCATATGATGAGGTGACAACAGAGAAGCATAATCAGAATTGGGACAGAATGTTGTCAGGACTGGATAAGGCCCTTTATAGCAGGATCACTGGGCATTATTTTAAAAGGGTATGCATAGCCAAAACATTTCTTGTTGTTTTCGGTAGAATAGGAAAGGGTTTCTAATCCGTGTTTTTTTTTTTTGTCTGTGCATGATTGTTTAAATTTCTATTCACTTCCTATCAAAGAAATGCAACAGAAAGTTGACAGAAATTTCCCAAAATGAGGGGAACCTCCCTCTTAGACAGCTGGCCCCAAAACAAGTGTCCGCTTTGATTGATTTTCCCCTTACCTCTTGTTCTGGTGACAACCTAAAATTTTTGATTTCCCCTCACTATCTTTCTCTGCAACAATGGTCGCCAGGACACAGAGAATGATTATTAATACTATTATACAGGATTTATATAGCGCCAACAGTTTATGCAGCACTTCACAAATAAGGGTAGGCAGTACAATTACAATACAACTTAATACAGTAGGAATCAGAGGGCCCTGCTCATTAGAGCTTGCAATCGAAGAGGGAGGGTCAAGTGATACAAAAAGTAATAACTTTTGAACTGATGGAGAAAATAAAAGTACAGTTGTTAGGTGGGGGCAGGATAGGCCTCTCTGTAGAGATTGGGTTTTTGGGAGAAGTCCAGGAGGCAAACATGGGTGGAGGTGACAAAGGAGCTAAAGAGCAGGTCTTGGGATGATTGGAATGGAATAATTGGAGGTCTTGGAATTATTAAATTATACAGTGGGGACAAAGACATAAAAAATTTTAAAGTGGAACTAAACTAACCATAGATTCAACTTAAAAAAACCACAAATTCAAGGCAAGAAGCCATGAATGATAACTATTACAGTTGCTTGTGCTTTCAGCAGAACTGTCAAGTCATCAAATGGCTGGTGTCAAAACTGATCACATGTTGTAGCCACTATGGTAACTGCAGATCACACAAGATGGGTAGTTCCTTGGCTGTAAAGGATAGGAAGATTTCGGTCCCCACAGAACATTTTAGTAATTGAGTTTACATATTTTTTTAACATAAAGATATTTTTAATGAAATATCAATGATAAAAAGAAAGATGGGTAAATCAAGTATATTACAGGTAGATATAAAAAGGGTGAGGGTTTTATGCAACAATCAGTAACTTACCTTATTAGATTATGCAACATATTTATTGACT